GTTCTCCTCCGGCTTCTTGTCTTCAACTTTCGCCGGTTCGTCTTCTTTGGGCTTGTCTTCCTCGGACTTTTGCTCCCCACTCTCGGAGGTGCTAGCGGTGTCCAACTGCTTTGAATCATCAGACTTATCTGCAGTACTGCCTTGCTGGTTGCCTTGATCAGCCAGAGCGGACGTGGTCTTTTCGTCTGACTTGCCCCATGCCGCGCTCCGATCAGAAGCTGGCTCCTCGGCTTTGGTCGCAGCGCCAGCCGAAGAGTTCATAAAGTCTTCCATCCGCTTCTCTTTATCGCTGCTCTTGTTGACAGCTGCGCCCGAGGACGGGGTGGTTTCGCCTGCAGGCAAAAGCGTATTCCAAGAGCTTGTGCTAGCCGCGCTGCTGCCCGTGGACAGTCCGAAGAGCGCTCTAAGATCACAGCCAGTCTGATCGTCGCCGATGGAGTGGTCACCTGCGTTTGCGGCACCAGGTTGGTTTTTCTTGGCCATCTTGCAGAGCTGTTTAATCACCGCCTTGGCGATTGCATTAGCTGTAGGTGTCGTTGACAATTGTGTCGTGCTGGCCGGAGACAGGTACGGGTCAATGGGCAGAGCGGATAAAGTGATGCCACCGTTCGGAAGACCCCCGAGGGTCCTGGAAGAGTCGTAGCCTATGCCGCTCGCGCCGGACATCGGCGAATCAGATGCCAGCGTCGGGACGCCGTAGGCCGAGTTCTGGATGATTGGAGCAGTGGACAAGGCGGGAGAAGTCGCACTGTAGGGATCGGAGGTTGTGCTTCCTAGACCAGATTGAGTGCTAGCGAGAGATGCGGACGTCCTGGAGCTACTGATGCCTGTTCCGTTTGCAGGTGTGTTGACTACAATGATCGTCGGCGTTTGCTGAGGCGGCAATCCAGACACCGGATCATCGTATGCGCCATTCGCATTCGACATGGAAGTCAGGCCGGATTGAGCGACCAGCGGACTGGCGACGGGAACTGCAAAGCTGCCTTCATTGCTGGGCAAGGCACCGTAATCAGTCGGTGCGACAACTTGGGCTAATTCTGCTTGCTGCGACTTTGCACCATCGGTGTCCTTCGCCGATGACTTGTCAGTGTGCTTCCTCTGATCGCCTTGAGGAGTCCCGTCGACCATTTGTTGGAGCGGTGATGGATTGGCATTGTCGGAGACTTGTGCCGGAGCTACGTTGCCGTTGCCATTTTGAGGCAGTGGCTCGGCGTAGGCCTGCACAAGCAAGATCGCCAAAGCGATGTGAATGGCTCGTCTGCGTAGCTGCATTTTGTTTCTGATGAGATGGCGACTACTT